CTGTCTCTCTCTCTCTCTCTGTCTCTCTCTCTGTCTCTGTCTCTCTCTCTGTCTCTCTCTCTGTCTCTCTCTCTCTCTCTCTCTCTCTCTCTCTCTCTCTCTCTCTCTCTCTGTCTCTCTCTGTCTCTCTCTCTCTGTCTCTCTCTCTGTCTCTCTCTGTCTCTGTCTCTCTCTCTCTGTCTCTCTCTGTCTCTCTCTCTCTGTCTCTCTCTCTCTGTCTCTCTCTCTCTCTCTCTGTCTCTCTCTCTCTCTCTCTCTCTCTCTGTCTCTCTCTCTCTCTCTCTCTCTCTCTGTCTCTCTCTGTCTCTCTCTCCTCTCTCTTTCTCACATCGTCCTCGTCTCTTTTAGCTGGGCTCTACGTCCTGCAGGTGCGTTCATAACGCCATTAATTATTCACCCAATCACGCCCAGCCGTCCTGGTACTGACCCGGGATCAGGGTCCACCCAGCAGCTCGTCTGTCCCCGGCCCCGGTTTGACAGAGAGGCTGATCTGGGATCTGTCGGGGCCTCCAGCAGAGAACGCTCACTGCAGCAGAAAACAGCAGAATCTCATCTTACAGCTCCACTCGATTAAAGGACAGGGACTCACTAAAGTGTGTGTGTGTGTGTGTGTGTGTGTGTGCTGCGTATTTCTCTCTGGGTCCAGTGTTGTCCACTTAAAAATCAAAATAAAAACCTGTCTTTACCCGGTTTATTTTGAAGTTTTCAAGCTTTTCTTTTTATGCCGCAAAACAAGCAAAAATGTGGTAAAAAGCCCGATTCAGGTGCATATTCTGAATACGCTCAATACGTGTCCAAAGAATGCTCCGAAAACCTAATTTATATCGGCATATCTCACACGTCTTAATGCTCCATTCAGAATCAGGCCTCATTCAGAACATCCTGTTTTATGTCCGTCAGTGTTCAGACCACTGAGCTTTGTTTTGATCCCAAATCAGGACGTCAGGATGAACGTCTATTATCTACGTGTGGTACAGCCATTCAAAAAAGGATCATTTCAACATTATATAGCGTCAAAAAGAGCCGAAACAATCTGATACTGAACATATACGGTATAGACAGACAGTGGGGAGTAAGACGATTCTTCCAACAGGAGGATTTGTTGTGTGATATATGAGGATGTTTCTAAAAATGTCAGAGCCCACAGAGTTCTTTCTGTGTTTTTTTTTGCTGGAACTGCACATTTTCAAATAGTTTCTGCAGAAGAGAACCAGCCCTGTATTTGAAACAGACCTTCCAGACTGAGCTCAGTAGCTGCTGGATTGATTCGTGGTTCCCTGAGGATGAATCCTTTTCCTCGAGCGACACCGTGAGACATTTGTGGTTCAGAGAGAAATGTCTCCACAACTGTCGGATGCAATTTTTGGTGCAGACATTCATGCTCTTTGCAGATTTTGGTGATGGACTGACTGGTTTCATCCAGTGACAGCATGTGGTGCAGACGTCCCGTGTTGAAAACACGACCTCACAAGTTCCCTTTGAAGGCGGCGTTGACACTTTGTATCTGTGTGTTATCGCACGATGCTCCTGCATGTTGGGAGGAAACAGTCACGATGGCATAGCGAAGGTTTGACGTGTCACTTCCTGCTGGGGATCTCGTGTGGTGGAGTGTGTCGGGTCTCAGATGTTTCTGTCGCTGTGTGTCGGTGACGCATGTGTACGTGTGTGTGTGTGTGTGTGTGTAACGCTTTGCTTTTGCTTCACCTGCTGCCCAGGTAACCCTAAGACCCCGCCCTGCCATGCCATTGGCTCCGCTCTGCCCAATGAGCTTCCTGCTGCTTCCAGCGCCCAACAATCCCATAACGGTACAGATCACATGACTCTGTGTGTGCCACGTTCATACCGCTCCCCCCCCCACACTTCCTGTCTCACCTGCAGCTTGTCCTCTGTTTGGCATGTCTTTGTTTATCACCCTGGAGTGTGTTTATGTTCTGTGTCTGCTGATCAAGTCATTGCAGTGTCGCTGGTAAAATCTTCTTCTTCTCTCAATATATTTCCTCTTTCATTTGAGTAAATGCCGAAACATGCTTCACGTGCAAACACCGCATGAACGTCTGTGTTTAGAGATGCAGTTAAAGGTTGTGAACAGGCCTCAGCTACGAACGCTTCCTGTCTGCAGAGATGTTAGTGTCGGGTCGCACACAGGTGCTTCATCTCTCAATGAGGTGTTTCAGGGTTCTCCGTTAATACGCAGTCTAGTTTCATAAATGCGACAGATCAGCATCACTTGTAAGTAAATCTGGAGAAGCGTGGAAACAATCGGATAATAATCAGATTATAGAGCCAGGAAGTTTTTAAAATCCTGTTAAAAAGTTTTGAATTGTTTCGAAGATTCTCACTGCGATAAAATCAAGTTAATGTCTGAGTGATGTTAACATAACATGTCTTGTTTCTGGCTCATTCCATCATCTCTCAAGTCCGTTTGATATAAAAATGAAAGTTTGTGAAACTGAGGACAGATAATGCAAATCAAATCCTCATGTTTTCTGATATTTATATATATATATATTAATATAAATATATTTTACTGTATTTTTAAGTTGACAGGTGATGAATCAGACAGAAGTTCTGTGATTCTTTTTCTTTTTATTTTATTTTTATATATATATATATATTATATACATTATGATCAATTACTGCTCTACTAATATGACCTCATGTGGTTACTTCACTGACTCCCACGATGATGGGATTTTCAAAACCAACTGCGTATTACAAAGATCAATTTTACACTCTTTCCATGAACATGAGTCACATGATGTACAAAGACATTTAATAAGAACAAATCTAAATGTTATTACTTCACACATGTTGTAAATTCAGCAGCTTCACCAGTTCAAAATAAACATGAATGAAATCCAGACAATGAATGAATTTATTGCTTTAAGACGAACAAATCTGTGAGCTCCAACACCAACTCTATGTTTATTAACTACTTTGTCTATTTGTGTGTATATTAGTGTAGTTTTGTGTGTGTATTTGTGTATTTGTGTGTAACTGTTGGTGTGTACAGAGAGAAACATTGGTTCGTTTTCATCAATAGTTCACAGTTTACATTCAGCATTTCCACTTCTCCTGTGTGGCTAATGACTGTCTGGTTTGGACACACAGACACACACACACGCACACACACACGCACACACACACACACACACACACACACACACACACTCCCCCACCCTTATCACAACAAAGGGCTGCTCCACTTCCTGTCTTCCTGGCCCAGGGCTGTGTTTGCTGATGCATACATATCATTCTCAGCAGGGAGCTCTACACACACACACACACACACACACACCACACACAGACACACACGCCATATATCATACCAGACATTCACCATGTAGCTGTCTGTAAAACTTATTACACCCCACCTAGATCAGATCAAAACGCACACACACACACACACACACACACACACATTTCCAATCATTCCAGTCTATATTTCAGAAGCAGCCGCTGCAGAAATCCATGTTTTTTTTGTGCACTTTTGCTCTAAACCAGCGAGCAGTTTTCACTAGATTTCTAATGTACAAATTTCATAACCAGTTGTTTGAGACATAAGATTATTTTTATAATACATAGAATAGAAATAGAATAGAAGCATGCTGTGCAGTAAAAAACAAAGAGCCAGCAGCTGGTTAGCTTAGCTTAGCACAAACACTGGAATCAGGGGGAAACAGCTAATTAACAATATAAATGATATCTTGTTTGTGCTAAGCTAAGTAAAATGTGGATGCTGTCACGGTGCCTTCAGGTGCTGTAGGAAACATCCCCTCCCAGCCTCGTGGGACTGCAGCGGCTGCCTCTGTGTGGTCGTCCTCCATTTTCATGACGAAGCAGCTTTCTCTCAGTTCTGCTGCTTCACTTGTGCCTCAGAAGGTTAATTCATTCGGTTTATCGATCAGCAGCGTTGCTTTCTGTGCGAGGCGGCACTTTTCTGTTTGCAGTGTGATTCGTTTTTTTTTGGGGGGCGTTCATTGAACGTGACATTTACATCATCCTCCGACACCTTTCAGATTCACTGTCATCTGTGCGTCTAGTGTGAGTCATTTGAATTTTTATTACTTTGTTTTTGAATCAGTTGGTGACTTCCTGTCTCCACCCGGGATGGATCAGCCAATCAACAAGCAGCTCTCCAACTCGTCTGCTGCCCTCCACTCACCAGAGAGAGGTAATAATTATTTATACATACATACCTTTAACAACTTTAAAACTGTATATATATACATACATACATATATATATATGACACAAATATCATTTCAGACATATTGATGGTTTTGTGGGAGGAATTCATGGATTTAGCTCCAAGAAAAAACTTGTCTGCATCCACTACATTAAGAACATGATACTTCTGTCTTTTAAGATGTCCAGGTATATATAATACAAGTACTACTACTACTACTACTACTAGAACTGGTCAAATACATATATCTCTTTGAACTCAAGGAGAAGAAAGAGAGCATCTCTTTTATTTGTTATGATTGTTTTGCTCTTCGCTTATTGGGAGTTTCTGATTTTTTTGTGTCCACATCATGGTGTGTCTATTTGTGTGTGTGTGTGTGTGTGTATGTGTGTCTGTGTGTGTCGTTTCGTGACCCGTCAGTGTCTTTTGTGTCCCATCGAACAGCTTCCCCCAGCAACCACAGACCGAACAGAAGTTCCTCCAACCGCAGGAGCATCGCTGGACTCCCCGAGGAGACGTCCAGAGCCAAGACACCCACGGTCAACCCTCACACACACACACGCACGCATGCACGCACACACACACGCACACACGCACGAACGCACGCACGCACGCACACACATGCACGCACACACAC